CCGATCTAGAATTCAATCAGATTTTTAGGGAACTCAGTTTTTTAATAGTCACTCCATAGCTCAATAAATAAATTCCTTTTAGGCTTTATAGGGCAGATGATTAATCTCACTGACTTAATTTAATTTAATTTCTTTAAATTTGTATATCTGAATTAAATTTTCGTAACTCCAATATTTCGCTTTGCGATCTCACACAGTTTAAGAAACGTTATACTAGAGGAATGAAATGCCACCGTTGTCAAGGAACGTTTATTTGATGAATTAAACAGCTAAATGTTTGGCGAAAAGCACGTAATACATTTTCAATGTATAGTGAAACTGTAGTGAAATATATTGCAATATCTTCAGTGAAATTTTCAACTTTTTTTTTTCGTGGCGACCTCAGCGTGCTCAGGTAGGGTGTGTGTTTTGTACGAAGAAATGACTTCTGCAGGACTGCGTAATGTTCTCGAAGATTTTGAGCTAACACTTATTTTACGAAAATTTGTGTGACACAATGATTTTTTTAATGAAATTCAGCTCATTTTTAAACCTATACTGCTGGGCAGCCCAAACAACAGCAAGTAAATGGAAATTTTGCCTACCATATTAGCTAGAATAAATTTTCCTGAGAATTAGGGAGAACTGTAAAAGAAATTCAGTAAATTTCCCCCATTAAGGAAAATATTATTCGTTTTTATTCATATGACCATATGGCCGAATGGGATTAAAAAAATTGTGATCTCTTAATAAATAATATAATATGCCAAATACCTACATTTCTTCATAAAAGCTAAGGAGATTGTTCATTTTTGTTTGTTTTTCTATTATTTTGGACTATTTTAAATTATAGTAATTTTTGTAAAATTTTTCAAATAGCAGATTTTATATAATTTATAGCCCATTTTTTTTTTTAAATAATAGGGTTAAATGACCTACAAAGTAAGAAGATTTACTTAATGTTGATTTAAATTTTAATATTAAATGATGATCAAAATAAGTAGATTTAGTTAACGCTACTTTAATTCTCTTCTGTGAGCTAATTAGAATTCCAAATAGTTCAAAATAATTGCTTTACGAATTTTTCCAATTTGAAGTGTAAAGAGCTGAAGAATTAATATTTTCACATTTAAGTAAGATTTAATTTACTTGACTGAGATTTAGTTTTTGTTATAAGGTGGTTTATCACATATCTTAAATATGAATAGAGAAAAAAAAAAGAAGCAGTATTTTGTGTTCTAACTCATTTCCTTATTGTGGATGATTTTATGTTAAATTCCCATAAAAAATGAATACATTTGAAATAAAACTTTCGTTAACACCTAATAAGGTACTATGAATTTCAAAATAAGTAATAAAATAGAATAAGTTATAACTATAATGACTATCATGAATTATTTCATCGGTACTGAAAAGAGTTAATTTTTGAAATATTTAAAACACAGAAAATTCCCATTTTGCTTTTTTTCTGAATCGTTTGGTTGGTATTTATGTTATGAGTAGAGGAATTACCAGTATGCCGCAAAATATTATTTTGTCTGAAGTATAAAACCAAGTAATGGATTACATTTCAGATCCGATTTACCATTAGAACCGCGCAGAACGATTTAGAAGCACAAAATCCGGATACACGCTGTCTAATGCACGTACCAACATTCAGTTAGTTCAATATAACCATGCTCAAATACTCTGAATCACAATACTCGTACTGTATGAAGTATGAAGTATGAAGAGTCAAATATGCATTATGTTCTTTTGGTTAATAATAGACATTTCCGCACATTAAATGATATATTAGAGCGAAACTATTAATTAACTATTATTTGAGCTATATGAAGAAAAACTAGTGTAGAATCAAAATCATTCAAGAAAACTAAAATTGTTTTCAATATTTACAAATTCTGTAGCAATATTCAGTAATAAATAACACTGAATGTTGCTAAGAAAACATTAAATACATTGTTATGGATTTTGCATTTAGTTTGCTATTTTTAGTAGAATTATAATTAAAATTGTTTTATATCCCCGTGCAATGCAGCACGAGACTTATTTGAAGAGAAAATTAAGCCGGGAAAGTAAAATTACAGGAACAAGCGCATTTAACATTTTATAAATAGATATTTCGTAATTCTACTCTTCTGCTTTCCAGAAACCTCAAGAAAATAGAAATTACGAGAAGCTCCTCGTGACTGATTAAAAAGTCGGAGAAAAACATTTCAGTTCAGTTGTTTACTAAGCCGTTGTAATTTTGGGATCGGATTACCTTTTTCTGCGCTTTGAATTGTGCTCTATTTAACGTTTTAGTAGTCTAAAATGTAACTATTGTGCGATATTGTACGGATACCTGTGGAAAAAAAAAAAAAAAAAAATATCAGAATTTTTTTTTTTTTTTCTCTCTCTTGTGATAAGAATAAATTTTATTAAATTTTCATCAGACGTGTGCATTCAATCTTTTACGAACCCGTGCGCACGCAACAATATATAGACTTAAGATTCTAAAGTTAAAAGTAAATTGGAGTTAAAGTATGGTTATTCCTCTAGAATTTTAATATTTGTAATCATGTATAAGACGTTTAACACAAAATCCAAACATATCGAAATTAAAATAAGAATTCATAGTAGTACAAAGGCCCACCAGCGGCCGAGCGGTAAAGTCGCTGAACACTGGTAGTTCGGTTCGAGGTTCGAATCCCGCGAACGGGCTGACTGCATGGGCGTTTTCGTGGTTTTCCCCATGTATAACGTGTATACGAGCCAGTTTCCCTTAGAAAGTCCTCCACGAAGGCATCCCTCCCCTTAGGCAGATAGCCCTCGAGGCTTTGCCATAATCACATACACACACACAAACATAGTAGTACAAACTTTAAAAAAATGCAAGAGGACAAAAATGCAAGATAATAAAAATATAAAAATACTAATTAATCTCTTTTCACTGAAACTCCAATTCAGAACTCATCAGTGAAAAATGAATTAAAGCCTTACAAAAGTCAATTAATAGGTTTCGAAAACGTGTTTCGTTCTCCTAGTTCATTTGAGGTCCAAAATGTATATCTGCAGTTATAACGCAGGAAGAGTACAAAAATTTGCTTTTAATTTTAGCCACTTATTATGTTTCTTTTTGCATATATATATATGTCCGATGTTTCCCAATTTAGAATTTCTTGAATTTAAGAATAACTTTTTAATCCGTCAATTTTTATCAAAATTACAATGCAGCTTTTCAAGATAATCCTCATTTAATTGAGAATAATTATCCCAACAAAAAAGGAATTTTTTTGTGCTCGAAGAGCTTCCTCTGCATCTCCTCTTTCTCCTTATAGCAAGGGTAAACTCTCAAACGCACTAATTTTTTTTTTTTTTTTTTTTTAAATGCGGTAACAAGTGTGGGAATAATCCTCGAAGACCTCGAATAATTACTGAAATTTTCACACTCTCATTCTACAAAAAGGAAAGGATCGTCGCATCTTCTATAGTTTCAAAAACACTGCTACAAAAATGCACTGTATCAGTCAAATAATTGATTAGGACCAAACAATATTGCATAGGATAGCTTCATAAACATGTCAAGAGTTGTCCTCGGCCGATAGCGTTGGCCGTAAATTCTAAGAATTGAATTAGAGCTCAACTCCTAGAACTTAAGTAAATACATTAAGAATTTTCCAAATTTAGAACTAATACTACAGATCTAAATTTTGACATTTCAGATATGTGAAGGCTTGGTGAATCATCCTTGGCTTTTGTAAATTGTAATGACCAACTCCTAATTATTTTTATAGTTATTAAGATAAAGATAATTATTATTAATTATAATTTAACGACTGAAGCCAAGATATGTTTTGTTGAATCATTCTTCAGTATTACGATAAATACCGAAAAGCAAATTGAGAGAAAAATGCACCAATATAAAATACAAAATTAGGGTAAAGAAAGAAAACTCTTAGTTTGGCGTTGATTTTCACTACAATTTCGAAGCAGACAATTAAAAGAAAAATTTTGAGTTTTATTCAAAATATACTCTGAAATGAGGTTGCCTAATTTTACACTGGTATGTTTCTTTTCCAATTTAAATGACCTCTCCTCTTCAGGAGCGAAAAAAAGTGTTTTGATTTTTATTCAAAATTTACCCCGAACTGAGGCTGCCGAATTTTAAATTGGAGTGTTTCTCTTACAACTTAACATATCTCTGTTCTCCGAGAGAAAATAAACAAGTAAATACATCTGAGCCAAACTAAGACTGTTTCCTGTGACTAATTTTAAGCTTAAAATCAGATTGTTTTCGCAATTATTGAACATTTTCTAAATGAACATATTAATTTTTCTTACAGTCTCATAAATTAAATAAATTCTGACAAATATTTTTTTCTAACTGTTTTATAAACTAACAAATATTTGAATGCCTTTATTGCTTTTCATTTTGGGAAATAAATATTATAATGTATAACTACAGTTCATACAGTGTATTAAATTATTTAATAAGTAAAACTTTTGAAGCTTTTCCAAAATCCTTTGAAAAAAAAAAAAAAAAGAGAGAAAGAGATTTTTCAACAATATTGTTCATAAGCAAATACCATAAGTTAAGGAATTAAAACAGCTAAATGTTTAGACCCTTAAAGCTTTATTCACGAAACTGGCCTTGCAAAAAAACAATATTAATGTATGTAAATTTATTATACCTTTTTTTACACATCTAATGATTGAACCCTACTTTTTCATAAATTAAAGGGGAAGAAAAATTACTTATTCGTTTCGTTTTCATAAAAAAGAAAGAAAGAAAAATGCGATATAAATATTTCAGAAGCATACAGTTTATAATTCTATGGCAGTTTACTCTTTTTAAAACAATTTGGAAAACATTAATCGAGATTAATAAATTTAAAAGAAATTAAATTTTCCCGTTCGTTAGTGATTTCCTGCATTTAATGTGTGACGTTCAGATTCCATCTTCATTTACATTAATAAATTATATTACATCAGCATTCCATATTCTTAAATAGATAAAAGTATATAATTAGGAAACTTACCTTCTAGGATGATGAAATGGAGCGTAACGCATTACTTTAATCTTAATCGTATGTTTGAGGAAAATTCATTTTCCTTTTTTGGGAAACTGCATGCAGGTATTTACTTTAGATGCCATCTGTGCTGCCATCTATCGAGTATAATTTGAACTTTCTGTTTTTAATCCTTATTTTTGAAATTACCTCCTGAAGAAAATTCTCAAGCGATGCATGTTTTAAAAAAACTTGTCCCCCCCCCTCGTCAACGTTTATAGTATATTTAACTTGTAATAATGCATTTAATTAAATTTCAAATTTGTTAGAACTGGGTTAAGTGCTTAAAAAAGTGCTTAAAAATTAAAACCGATGTCTGAATTTCAAATTAATGCGACAATTTAACAATACTTAGTTAATCTTAAATTTGTAATGAGGTTTATTTAATTATTTATTTATTTATTTTTATATTTCTCATAGTTAGTGCAGATGCAATTATGCTCCAAAGTTAAAGAACTGTTGAAATAGACCTTTCTATAATTTGATGTCATTTTAATTCTTCTTCTATTTCATCATCAACTTTCACATTATTTATTAATTACTAAAGGTAATGGAATTCTTGACAGAAATTGGCTTGCATTGCCTTATATATGTAGGAAATAACAAAAACTCACGTAGATACTCGATCTGCTGGTAAAAACTTTCTGAATGTGGCAACAAATAACGTTCCATTTCAAACCTCTCCCCCCCCTTTATTCTGTAGACGTTCAGGATGAGGACATCACAAATCTTACCATTTAAGTCTTTTTATTTTTAATCTTTCATTAGAGTTAGTGATTTGGTGGATATTAAAGTGAATGAAGAACTGTTAATGTATGTAGCCTAAAAGGAAGACATTCTTTGTTTGAATACTATACAGTAACTTTTAAGCAGATAGGAGTAAAAATTACACTTTCAATGCGGATTTAATACTAGACAAATCCAAAAAATGTTTTCATTTTTCAATTTCGGTATTTCAGTTTACAAGATTTAGAATTCGGTTTCAAGAAAACAGTAATACGAATTCTATATCGTACTCAAATTTTAACAATAAGTTCTTTGTATTAGGCGTGGTTACGAATGTTATTAATGTTTTATTTAAGTAGTGACTAAAGTTTAGACGGCGAAGATTCCTTGTGACATCATTTTATACATACATCACAGTCACGTGACTTCCTATTGTGCTTTTAGATTTTACACTGACCTTGAATAAAAAGACTGAAATGGGAATCATTTTAATCGACTCCATCAAGAGAGGCTGAATTGTCACATTTTCAAAAAAAAAGCCTCAATTGGGAAAGCCTGAAATATAACATAAGCGAATCAATGACCAGAATTTCACGAGTTTAATTAGTTAAGCCTGAAGAGACTCAATGTTTCGTATCTGAATGCCTTTTTTTTTTTTTTTTTTTTTTTTTTCCGCTAAATATTTTCATGAATTGTCTTGGCAAGCTTAAATTGATTTTTCAATAAGGACTAAACATACATTTTTGTGCTGATTATAATTGCTATGTTTTCCATACCTCTGTGACTAAATTTTTAGTATTCTAGTATTTTTAACTTTTTCTTTTCCCGGAAACTTTTGAACCAATAGCAGCCCGGATCCGGTGCTTCTAAATTTTTCAAAGAAACAGTTATTCTATTCGTAGAGCACCAGAGTCCTAAATAATATGGCTCCGGCATTTCTTTTATATAACTGAGGCCTAATTTCATGTGAAAATTCTTTTGATCTTAAAAATGTTATTTTAATAATAAAATTAAATTAAAAATCGCGTCTAACTCATTGTCTGTAACGAGTCTGAATGCATTCATCTCTTTCCCTGAGAAACTAGTCCTTGGACTAACTTTAAGACATTTAAGGGATAAAAATATCATCAACCTGTCAAAGGTTTCTTCTGCAAGAAGTGTAAGAATTGGAGGCTCCCTTCAGCCCACCTGGACACGAGCGTCCCCATAGCTCAAAAGAAGGGGCCCCGTATCTCCACAAACGAGGGCAGCCAGCAACCCAGCTACCCCCAAACAACAAACAAAAATACTAAATTAAAAATAAGCAAGCACATCTAACACAAAATTACAAATCAACGCACCCCCCCAAAAAAAAACTATAAACACAAATTCACAACATAGAACATCACACATATGTAAAACCTATATAAATACAGAATTCAGTTTTAACAGAAGATTCCTACAAGGGCCCTATTTTCATTGATAAACTTCCTTAGAGCAGTAGTATATGATTTAAAAACTTTAAAATTAATGGCACTACATTAAAATCAGTAATGTTAAAAATCCATCTAATAGGGGCTGTTAAACTACGATCAACCACAAAATGCCTAGCATCACCATCATCACCATCTGCAAGAAGTGTATTGATTATTATTACTAAAGTTCTCCCAAAATTATCACATACACGATCGTACTCATTCTCAATCGAATTTGAAACTTGCTAAAAATATAATTCATGCTTCAAAATTTGGGACATTTTTACTGTAAATCTGAACATTTCCTGCTTCATTGATTACTTAAAAAACGATATAATGAGCTCTTGGATATCACCGAAGAGATTATTTATACTACGAATTATCTGGCGCATCCATCGCTAGAGCTTTTTCGGTCTTCTGCTTAGGAAAAACGAAGAACTCATGCCTTTTTGAAGTAAATGCATGACTTTTGAGGCAATGAATCAAAATCGCTACTAAGGCTTGGTGCGGTAGCTTCCTAGATTTATGGATCATCGTTAAGAAAGTCAACAGGGGGATCTTGGAACCAGTCCCCGGAAACCTTCTCGCTCATCTCAATCGACCCCTCGTTCGTCTGCTGTCATCCAAAATTAAAGAACTGAAATAATTCCTCCAATGCTGATTTTCACTATCGAGGTGAGGGAATATGATCTATTACAAAGGAAAATAAATATTCAAAAGTTTGGAAAAGATACTGAATAAAAAATTCAGCTTTAGTTGAAAGATGACAAGAATTAAGGTAACTATAAGGCAGTAATGCTCTTTAAACTTTGTTGACGCACGGAACTCTCAGAACTGAAAAACCTTTATAAAAACATATCTTAAAATAATATTTAAAGTAGATCAATATGTTGCAGTTTGCAGGTATTTTATTTGAAGACTATTAAAGAAAAGTATTGTATTTTTTATTAAAAAATTATAACATAAATTAATGCAATTTACTCATTCATAGCATTAATTCGTGTTTGAGGTATCACCTACCTAAATTAGTGACCGGGGTGCACTTGCATTTTTCTACACAAACTATTGAAGTCTAGCTTTACTGATGTTATCTGCAATCATATTTAATGTTCTGCATTTAATTTATTTATATTTTGTTTTGTTTCCACGTTGAGAAAGATTTTTTATTTAAATACGTTGTTCCGAATGACATTAAAATTTTAAATTTGTTAAAGAAACATAATTTTGCATGCACATCGGGAAACAGGAGCTACTTTCTCACTTACGTCACTACTGACGTCACGTTACGTACATCAGCAGGACAGTGATTAATTTTCAAACATAAATTAACTGTATCTTTGCATATTTTACTTCATAAACACTAGTCAACAAGTGTGAGTACTTTATAATTTCCTTGCTGAATTTTTATTTTAACTCTCGGAACCCCCGCGGTTCCTCGAAACACGGTTCGAGCACCATTGCTATAGAGTTTTATCACACCAGTAGTCATTAGTGAAGAGATGAACGTAGAGAAGATGATGATGATGAAAATGATGAAGCAAGAATGATCACGGTGAGACAATGGAATGTGTAAATTTGTTATTAGTTTAAGTGGGTCAATAAACTGCGTTTGAATTTACTGCTATCGTAAATTCATGCTCTGTATGCTTTAAATTCTGGAAAGAATGCCAACACGGCTCTTTAAGGAAAAGAATTATCCCTGAATTAATTGCGATTTAAGTAGACATTTTCTAAATGTATTTGTCTTTCGAATTTAATCGCATTGTGAAAAAAAAAAAAAAAAAAAAAAAAAAAAAAAAAAAACGGTTTTGCCTTAACCCCAGATTTTGAACGCACACTGTCTTCTACCAGAACATGGGCATCTTGAAGCTCTTTGAATTTCCAATTCGTCTCTTATTTATTGAGGAAAGTTGGAAAATTAAGGAACTTCCGATTTAAAAATTCAGCAATATGAAAATATGAGTGTTGCCACTTGGTGAAACGGAACATTCTTCCGAATGTAATTAATAAACTCAAAAACTTAAAAGACGTGTTTTGTCACTGCCTGAAGTTAAATATTTTTGTTACCCACGCGGCAGTGGGTTATCGTTCAACAACGACTACTTAAATATTCTTCTAAATTTATTCTGTTATCAATTAACAAACTATGCTATTTATAAGCAATGAACGCAGATTCTTTTATATTATCAATTGCTACCTAAACCTACGAAATTGCGTTAGCTGGATTCATTAAAGTCATTACGCATTTTTTTTTAATAGCTATTTAAGCGGCTGCTAAAAATGAGAGTTTTAGAGATTTGTTTTAAATTTAGATTTAAACTGAACGTTTTTATTTCGGGGACTGAATTTGAAATGTTTCACTTAAAATAATCGCGTGTTACTGTTATTGAATTAGATAAAATTAAAGTAAGCAAATTATATTCATTTTCCATTAAGATTGAAATTTTCATTCCAGTGAACTGCTTCAATGATTCTATAAATGGAGGAGCAAAAGTGGTGCTGCCATCTCTTGGCCTAAACTAGAGTTAATAATGAATAGGTGCAATAATTAAACCATCTTCAAGTACAACTTCCGATTTCAATTAAAAAATAAATCATACCTGTATATATATTTTTTTACAATATATAGCTTGAGAACTTTGAGTATTCATCTGCAATAATATAAGACTTTACCTTAATTCATAACCTAAATACATTTCGACTGAAAATATTTTAAATATGAGTTATCTAAATGAAGGCATGAAATATGTTGTTAAAATTACAAACTATATATTTTTCAATATTTATACTTTAATAATGCTTTTAAATTACACAGGTGACCCAGG